GAGTTCTAAGCCACCGGGTCCGGGACGCGAACCACAGTTGACTACGTGGGAGTCCAGCGACATAGCCATTACGCTAACTGCTAGTTCCCATGAAGATAACATTTTCTTTTTAAAATGAGCTACAATAGGTCATGGAGCAAATATTTAAAATGTATAAATATTCTGTTTGAAAAGCACACAAAATATATGAAGAAGCATGCCCTTCTCCAATTTTACATTTATCTCAGAGAGACACCATATAGATAACTGCAATTTATTGACTGGATAAGAAAAAAAATGTTTATAGGAATTTGAAAGAAGTGGCTGAAATGTTCAGAAAAGAATTCATTGAGATGATGGGATGTAATTGTACTTCAATGAAAATAGTAACTTTTAGAACAAAACTCAAATAAGTCAGCTCTCCTGTTAATATGAGCCAATACTTAAATAAATATGCATTGTACCAGACACTATATTTGACAGCTGACCTTACTCATTGCACTTATACTTCCAAATAGTCACAAAAGAAAGATTATTATTATCACACCCATTTTACAAATGGGGCAACCAAGACATAGCAAGGCAATGTTAAATAATTTGTCGAAGTCACTTACTAGTAAAAAATAGAGCCAGGATCAAAACTCAGGGACAATTGGATTAAGAGCCTTTATTCTTCACTGCCACCTGAATCACCTTTGAAACATCCAGACCAGGAGTTCCAGCTCACTATTTGTTGAACTGTTTGTAATAACACATGTTTTGTTTTGTTTTGTTTTTGAGAGAGAGAGAGAGAAATTTTGACCATTAGGGCATGTGCATTCACCAGAGAGAGACAGAGAGACTGAAAGCGAGAAATCACCCCTCAATCCCTTCTCCTCCATTCTCCTCTTGTGATTTTGGGCATGCATGCACATACACCTGGCATTTTTCAAGCTTCTGGGTCTGGGACTCAAATTGCATGCAACCTTGTGGAAGTCCAGTGACGTAACCATTACGCCATCTGCTGGTCCCTGTAATAACACATTTTAATTGGATTCATTATAATTTTGTTTTCTATTACTCTGTCTTAACAACCATGCCACAGTCTAGCCCTACATTTTAAACTTACGTACATTATCCGTGGGGCTGAACAAAAGTTGTTATTTTTCATTTATTTCTGACCGACTTGATCTTTTTACTACAGTAACAAGTCATCAAATTTTTCATCTGTGTAATGAAAGTTTGAAGGTTTGTTAGTAATCCCCACACCACTCAACAATAATAATTAATTTAAAATAAAACAATATACTTTTTTAACATACTTCACCTTTGCCCATTCATTTCCTAGAAAGAACTTAGTGTATTATGGAAAGCTTATACACTTATAAGTGTATAAGGTCTATTTTTTTCTCAAGTTTTCCTGTCTTTTAGCTTAAATATCTTAGTAAACCATAAAGCTTGTTTTGTAAAATTTATTATTACTATTGGACTCTTTTACAAAAGAAGTATGTCTAAAACTTAAAATACAAACTTACAGAAGTTTTAATTGTTTCAAGAAAATGGCAAATAAAAGAAGAATATTTATCTCATTTTCCTGCAGAATCCAAACTTATTTCTGGTAGATTAAGTCCTGAAGGCAAATCTTTTCTCTGTGTCTTCACCATAGTCCCAGTGAATTGGAAAATCAAGGACAAATATTGTGTATAACTGAAAATTGAAAATGTTTATTTGACTTCAAGAACACACAAAGCAGTATTACTCTGTCCCATCTATGTTTACCTTTCTTTAATTTCTCCTTGAAACTTTTTCCCAGTGTTTTCCCTATTCTTGAAGAATTTAATTCTAACTTAATGTCTCTATATAGTGAAACTCTTTGAGAAATACCAGGAAAGAGTTGTAGGTAATGCCATTCTTGGTACTGCTACAGAAAGGATATTTTCCATTTGCAAAATATCAGGAAGAAAGTGACAGCACCTACCCTCTAACCTCCAGCAACACTCACATCTCTGGTATGAAAAATCAAAAGTAATACCTGGGGTTTTGGCAGTGAGTATATTTTCTGTTATGATAGTCTTACTTTCAGCAGAATCAGTTCAGGCCAGCTGCCCCAGCAGCAGATTATATAAATCTACATTTTCCAGCAGCATTAATCTTTTAGCACTATACGAGGTTCATTAAGCAGGGTCAAACAAATTCTTATTCCATGAGGGCTTGCTAAAAACCTTACAGTAGCAATATGAAAGGCAGTAGAGTCCTTGCATATATCTTTTGACTATTCCTCTGAAATTGCTGCTTTTTAAAAAATACTGATAGGATTTCAATATTAAAAAGTATTATTATTATTATTTCCAGAGGGCATGCATGCTTACAAGAAAGAGAGAGAAAGCACTCTCCAACAGGGCCTGGTCATGCTGCAGTACTTTTTCTTCCATTTCCTCACCTTGTCAGGATTTGGGGCATGCATGCACACATGCCCAGAGTGTTTTTCAGGCCAGCAGGACTGGACTCAAACTGTGCTTGGACATGTGGAATCCAATTTTTTTTTTTATTTTGAGAGGTTTTCGCTATAGGGCGCATGCACTTGACAGAGAGAGAGAGAAAGTGAGAAATCCCCCCCCATGGGGGATGGACACGCCGCAATCCCTTCTCCTCCATTCTCCTCTCGGGATCTTGGGCACGCACGCACATGTGCCTGGCGTGAGTTTTAAGCCACCCAGTCCGGGACGCGAATCATGGGAGTCCAGCGACGTAGCCATTACGCTAACTGCTGGTCCCGCTGGAATCCAACTTATTATGCATAGTGCTTAACCACGGCACTATGGTTCTGGTCCCAAACAGTATTTTAGAAATTGTTTTTCTCTTTATTCATGATAGAGTATATGCATGACACACATGCAGAGAGGGAGAGAGAGAGGGGAGCACCCTCCATACTATCTGGCCATGCCTTGATCCCCTTCCTCCAGTCTTCAAGCCCGTTGAATCTTAGGCACTCACTTATGTGCCTAGTGTTTCAGGCTGACTGGGCTGGGGATGAATCCCCAGCCATGTGGGGTCTGGCTTCTTCTGAGAGAGCATTGCCTCTATGCCACAGAGTGGGCTCCCCTCTTTTATTTTTAATTAATGTTTAGTCATTCCTTTTTTCCATTAACAAGAATTCTGAGAGAGAGCATATCCAAGTGGGTTTTGATACCATGATCTACCCCTAGTCTCTACCAGCCCCAGACCATGGGCATGCGCATGCTCAGAATACTCAAGGAAGTCTCTGGGTGTAAACCCAAGGTTTCCCATTTAGCTCAGTCTTATAGGAAGTTGTGTTTTACTGCAGCATCACTGTCCAGCCCTTAGTGACTCATTTCTCTATGGTCAAGTGAAACTGTACAGATAATTGCCACAGCATTTATCATACTTTAACGAAGTTTCTTGTTTACATGTCTCTCATTCCCTCTTTGTGTCTTATATCAGCAGCAGCAGCAGCGTAGTGCTTGGCTCATGATAAATGTTTAATTAATGTATGTTGAATGAAAACGCTGGTGTGAGAAAAGAGGAGTTAGGAAAGTAATGGAGGCATACGCTAAGTTAAGCATTAAACATGGATTGATAGATGGTCTAGGGGCTGCATTACAGGGCAGTCTTGCCAGGGTTATTTCAAACAGAGGAAAAGTTTTGCTATAAGTATGGACATAGGAATATGAGACAATGGCCATGGGAATGTCAGAGGATGGGGCCATCATGTAGAGGCCTCAAAGTGGTCAAGAAACCTAGATACTGAAAAACAAAGCAAGCAACTCCATGGAGTACTTGAACAGGAGCTTATTAGAGGGCGACTTATAGATGGGAAAGGTTAGGCAGAAAGCAGCCCAGAAGCATTCATGGATATACTCCACTCTGCCTTGAAGAAAACAAAGGGGATAAACAATATATATAAAAAAAAACAGGGGCCAGCAGTTGGAATAATGGCTATGTCACTGAACTCCCATGTAGTCAACCGTGGTTCGAGTCCCGGATCCAGTGGCTTAAGCTCACGCCAGGCGCATGTGCGTGTGTGCCCAAGATCCCAAGAGAAGAATGGAGGAGAAGATATTGCGACATGGCCATCCCCCCTGGGGGATCACTGTCCAGCCCTTAGTGACTCATTTCTCTATGGTCAAGTGAAACTGTACAGATAATTGCCACAGCATTTATCATACTTTAACGAAGTTTCTTGTTTACATGTCTCTCATTCCCTCTTTGTGTCTTATATCAGCAGCAGCAGCAGCGTAGTGCTTGGCTCATGATAAATGTTTAATTAATGTATGTTGAATGAAAACGCTGGTGTGAGAAAAGAGGAGTTAGGAAAGTAATGGAGGCATACGCTAAGTTAAGCATTAAACATGGATTGATAGATGGTCTAGGGGCTGCATTACAGGGCAGTCTTGCCAGGGTTATTTCAAACAGAGGAAAAGTTTTGCTATAAGTATGGACATAGGAATATGAGACAATGGCCATGGGAATGTCAGAGGATGGGGCCATCATGTAGAGGCCTCAAAGTGGTCAAGAAACCTAGATACTGAAAAACAAAGCAAGCAACTCCATGGAGTACTTGAACAGGAGCTTATTAGAGGGCGACTTATAGATGGGAAAGGTTAGGCAGAAAGCAGCCCAGAAGCATTCATGGATATACTCCACTCTGCCTTGAAGAAAACAAAGGGGATAAACAATATATATAAAAAAAAACAGGGGCCAGCAGTTGGAATAATGGCTATGTCACTGAACTCCCATGTAGTCAACCGTGGTTCGAGTCCCGGATCCAGTGGCTTAAGCTCACGCCAGGCGCATGTGCGTGTGTGCCCAAGATCCCAAGAGAAGAATGGAGGAGAAGATATTGCGACATGGCCATCCCCCCTGGGGGGGTGATTTCTCGCTTTCTATCTCTCTGTTTGCCTGGTGAGCACACACACACTATAGCTGAAACCTCTAAAATATATATATATATATATGAAATACTGACTTTAGTCATGGGTCATCAGTGGATCCTGAAGGTCTCTTTCTTTCTGTTCCCACAGGTTGTTATTTTGTATTTTGAGCCGAGCACATTTCGCTGTATTCTCCTCAGATGGGTCCGGCTTCTTGGTTTTGCTACTGTCTATGGAACTGTCACTCTCAAGCTTCACAGGTATACTAGATTTTTCTACTCTGTTTCCATGAAAGGATCATAGTGTTTGTATTATGTGTAACTGTAAGCTGGGTTAGCCACTTAAATGCTCTAATTACAAGAATTTATTAATAGACAGCAAGAACATATCTGTTTGAGGCAACCTCTTTTGGATCCTGTGGGGAAATCTTTAATACAACTGAACTCTTTGAACAAGAGTAAAACATGTCATGGGTTCTGGAAAGGGGTATTTTTAAATAAATAAGTTTAGAATGTGAAACTGTATTTACTAGCTAAAAACAGCAGAGGATTCAAAGATAGTGCAGGAAAAATAATGCTACACATCCAAAGGTATCATAGAACCCCCTAGTAGAATTCAGCAATATGTTATTAGACAACTACTGTCCTGCTTGCTCAAGTTACGTGCCTCAGGCTACTCCTGCTGATAGTCTGTGGGCAAAATTAAAAACAATAGTGTTCTTTGTTTAACCAGTATATTCCACTGATCATCAGCCTTAGAAAATTGAAAATAGGGTAAATTCTCTTACACTTAGTTTCCAAACTATCTAAATATTGGGAAGAATTAGAAAGCCCTAAAATAAATTACCTATCCACAAAAGCTAAGGATGGTAGGAAAATATTTCAAAAAGTATCCCCTTGCCTCCTGCTTCCAAGTTTAAAGAAAGCCTGAATGTAGCAGTGCTAAAGAGCAGAGGAGAGAAAAATTAAATTTCTCCTAAAGGATAAAACTGTGGCTATAGAGAAACCCATTTACATTGATCAGCTTTAAAGCTATTTGATAACCATAGTAAGCTATGTATATTTCTATGCTAATTTGACTATATGTGTTTCTGAATAAAAGTCTTCTAACATGGTTCATACAATGGTTTATCTTAGATGTCATACTATGTATTATATTTTTTGTCTTAAAATGCCCCCTTTTTAACCTTTTAAAAAATGCAGTAATTACACTCCCACACCAAAATCTCCATTTCTTTACTCTCTCTCTTTCTCTCTCTCTCTTTCTTCTTTTTTTTTTTTGGTGTGATATTTAATCAATGGGGGTGGTCTTGGTTATGTTTAAGGGACAAATGTGAACATCCTTGACTCTCAGAATTCCTTTCTTATGTATGTGCTATAATACCAAGAATAATGGACTGGATTTCAAGAGGTCTGATTTAACTTCTAGTAATACTGAAAGAACAGGAGCCTTCTTAAGACTTGAAAACGCCCTGTCTTCCTACTAGTCAAGCACTTAACTGTATATTAAGTCCATGTAGTATAATACTTAGTGCCTTTCAGTTTGCTTATTTGTCTTCACTTTAATTTACCTTCTCCTTGAAGGCAGCCTTACCAATGAATCCCAGCACTCAGCACAATGTCTGACACATTGGTGGTGTTTAATATATTGATGTATTAGAGATGAGTCAAAGTGCCAGATGCAGACCTGGAAGCTTCTTCCCACAATTCTCTCATACATAAAACCTTCCTGTTCCCTTATCACTGTGTGCTACCTCAGTGTGTCCTCCAGAGACTGGAACCCATAACGTTGTGGTCTGCAAGAGGATGTTTAGGGATGTGAGCACATTATTAAATAGTACTCACTTGTTGAATGAGAGTTACTTCCATTCAGGCTCTCTTCCAATCTTTCTGATTATTTCCAAGAGAAAGAGTAGTTTGGAGCTAATAGATCCTTCACACATGCCAATCTGCTGCTAATCTTTGTGTGAAAGAACCCATCAGGCTTTGCACTCAGAGCTTTCTACTGCAATGCTGTCCCAGATGAAATTCATTCATTTCGTTTCCCTGTATTTATTTTTATGGTTACTTTCTGTTATGGACAACATTATCTATGAGTTTTGCACTTAGGTAGTGATACAAGATTTCCTTTAATATATTTTGAAACAATAAATAGAAATCTGCTTGAAGAAAATGTTAGTTGGTACACAAATGCAGCAGAAGTCTTGAGGGTAGTATACAAGTGATTGGAATTTGGGAAAGTAGGTTGCCGCTTTTTCTTTTTTCTTTATCTTAGGGACTGGAATTAAAACTATTTTCTCTTTACCGTGTGTCTCTAGAAGTCATTATAGTGAAGAATTACTCCACTGACAGCTTAAATTTAGTGGAAACTACTTCTAATTTAATGAGCTGAATTATTTTTATCCTATATGAACCATACAGCTTTTCTATTATATGCGGGCTTTTCTCCCCATATTGCTTAAATTTAATTGATTCTAATATTGTTTGAGTCCACAAAGTGAGTAATCAATCAGCTTCCCAAAGAAGTGTGAGCAACCTGAAAGAAGGAGCCAAACCAGCTTTGTTTCCCCATATTTAGTGTTGTACTCTGTCCATATTGTATTATATATTCAGATATTTGTTGAATGAGTGAACGGGTGAATAGTTATAGTGAATGGAGCCACAGGAGGTTTTTTGGGGCTGGTCTACATCCCTTAAATTAAGTAACATGTGGTCCCTAACTAAAGGACTTCTAAGGTTTTGTAGTGACATGATAGAAAGACATAAATTCCAACAAATCCAAATTTGAATCCCATTTCTGCCATTACCTATTTATATGATCAAGAATAAATTAATATCTGAGAATTCATTTTCTTACCTATAAAATAATTTAATACTTCATCTATAAAACTGTAATAATTAATATAATTTGAGTTTATGTGAATATACCAATAGGGTTTTTTGGTTCAAAATCTGGTTTGCAGAATCAAAGTAGAATGAGCAAAGAAATAGTGTATCATGAATTAGTCCTATCTTCCTATGAAGATAGGAAATTAGGAATGGTGATATATAAAAATTACTGTTAGGGAACTAGCAGTTAGTGTAATGGCTATGTTGCTGGACTCCAACATAGTTGACTGCGGTTTGCGTCCCAGACCCGGTGGCTTAAAACTCACGTCGGACGTGTGTGCGTGCGTGCCCAAGATCCTGAGAGGAGAATGGAGGAGAAGGGATTGCGGTGTGCCCATCCCTCCTGGGGGGGGGGGTTGTTTTCTCACTTTCTGTCTCTATGTCTCTCTCTGTCTGTCTGGTGAGCGCACACGCCCTATAGCGAAAACCTCTCCAAAAAAAAAAAAAATTACTGTTATAGTCTCTTGAAGACAAGACAGATTTTTAAAAGACCTGAGTTTTCATATTATTTCAACCATTCCCTTTAGGTTTAGTGGAATTATTAAACATTTCTTTCTCTATCTCCTGTCTCATAATGACTGACTGCAGCAGTTATAGAGTCCCTAAGGCACTGAAAATGTGAAATAAATGTGAAAAAGGAGCAGGATCTACTTTGTCTCCAGAAACGGTAATACCAGTCTGGGATAGGAAGTAAAATCTTCATTCGCTTTTATTTACTCTCCCACATTTTCCTTTGGTAGTCTCTTCTCATGTTTGAGAGTCATACAGCCAAAGGCTGCCACAGCAATGTAAAGGAAAGCTGTGAGAGTTCTCACTTAACAAATGCAGTGTGGGTACACCAAGTGGGAAGACTGGGGATGGACTGCTCTGTCCCTTCAGAGAGGAGCATTTTATCACTGACATTGTTTAGAATCACTAGCATAAGGTGATTATAAAAAAACCAGAGCAACCTTTAGTTGCTTTATTATTGCCTAAGTTCTCTCCAGGCCACAGACCCCCTGGTCAGACCACTCCCACAGCCCACCTCATTGACACAGCATTTCATCAGGGCACTTGAAAAAGAGAGGTTGGTACTGGTTTTAGCTAGTTTAATGTAGACCGTAAGTAGAAAGAGCTGCAGTAAGTGAAAATGAAGAAGATGCATTTATAAAAACGAGCTTCCTTTGGTAACAGTAGGTATGTTTGACGTAGTACATGAATGATGTAGGGAGGATCTAAAAGAACATCTAGTACTTCCCTGAATGTGTGGGTTCACAGAATACCTGCTAAGCTTATTTTCTGGGATTTGTTTAGTTTGTTTTCAAGAAACTTGGGAAGGCACTATCTCTAGGCCCAGAAAAGTCGGGTTTATTTTCAGGAGATAAAATAGAGGAAATGTTCTTAAATGAAAGGAGGTGGAAAGAGATTTTAAAACTTAATGCTGAAAACACTTTCCTGTTCCTTGGGATATGGTTTCTGAAAAGATATTGGCTTTTTCCTCTTTTAAGGCTAATCAAGAGAAAAAAAAAAAAAAAAAAAAAAAAAAAACAAACCACAAAAGACTTTTTCTGTCCTATGTTTAAAAAGAGTATTTTAGCAAGCTGTGAAAAGCTTTTTTCTGGCCCTGGACTGGGATTTGTCATTTCATGCATTATTCAGTACGCCTTGCTCTGGGTAAATCTGTGGCAGTTTACTGTGCTCTTTAGCACCAAATGTTTACAGTTCGTGGGAAGGTTTCTTTTTTAGTTTCCTAGTAAATTTTAAAAAGTGATATTGGGAAATCTTTTTATTTATTTCATATATTCTTATATGGATACATAAAACATGGTAACATAACCTTAAAATTTTTTTGAGAGGTTTTTGCTATAGGGCACTTGTGCCCGCCAGAAAGAGACAGAGACAGAAAGTGAGAAATCACCCAGCAGGGGGGATGGCCATGCCACAATCCCTTCTCCTCCATTCTCCTCTTGGGATCTTTTGCACGCACTCACGCACAAGCACCCAGTGTGAATTTAAGCCACCAGGTCCAGGACTCAAACCAAGGTAGAGTACATGGGAGTCCAGCGACACAGTCATTAAGCCGACTGCTGGTCCCATACTTTAAATTTTTAAAAAGGCAAGTAAAAGCAATGTGTGGCTATCTAGAAAAACCAAGAGTGGGAATTATAATGACTATCTCTTTTAACTTAACTCTTGACAACCACTGGGTGGCAGAGAATTTAAGATGAGCCTTAGGCAAATGCCTTGAGTGCAGTTAGTGGGCTTTGTTAATTAAGTGTACGCCCATCTTCCTAAATGGAATTGAACAAGATGGTTGTTAGCCCTCATTTATGAAAGACAAAAAAAAAATAGCCTTTAATCTTAGGTGGCTAAAATAATGCCTCTGAGCGACC